GTTTAGTTAGTTAAATACCTGAAACGACGAGTGAAATTAGTATCAGTTATCAAATTATTTCGCTATATTTTATCGCTGTCTGAAACATGTGAATTTTCGTGCTCGTTTTTTTTTATCAATTTTATTACGACCTCATAGATATTCCCGCTAAAAGTTCAGGGGCAATACATGTTTACATTTGCTTATCGTAAATATTAGGTTTTGCATAATATTAAGAGCAGCATGCACTAGAGGTGGCAGATTAGATATGTTTAATCTTAATTAAATATACTGTTTTGATTAGCTAAGTCAAGGTAATAAGATACACTTTATAATTTTTTAAATTTAACATTATACGGGCAAATGGAAGATTTTACTTGTAGTCAAGGCTGTGTAGGCTGTTCCATAAATAAAAACAAAAAATACATACATAGTAAATTGCTAGTTGGGTAGAGTAATAGTAGATTTTGAAATCGTTCTAAATGGCATATATATTGCAACATGTAATCTGTTTCAAGGTAATTCAAATAAATTTAAAAACGTATTAAGCGATGTAGAACAAAACTTCGATACCAAAAATCTAGGGATGTAAAAGATATCTAACAAGGTTCCTAACTGATACCAAAATTTATTTTCAAATTACCATGGCAACAGGATGGAGCACAAGTTGAATTTGTTTAAAATTACTGTGATTTGAGTTTGCTTTATCCAAATTTAATAAACTTTGGCTCATTTTAAAGGGCTATTTAATTTGACTGCTCAGAGTAAGTGCGGTCCAGTGACTTGGCATTCATGTCAGTGATATGAAAACTCAAGCAACGCTGATCGCGGTTAATACTTGGATGGGTGACCTTCCAGGGAAGGCTCGCGATGCTTGTATGTCGGTGTATTGATAGAAGTTATAGAAAAGGTGGTTCCCTTAAAAAAAATTAAATGCAGCTATACATATAATAAATTATTAGTAAATTAATTAAGAAAAACAAATATGAGAACAGAGCGTCCAATGTCTCTTTTTTAAATTAGCACAAGAATGTTAGTGTTCGCGTAAATATCATATTTAATAATAAAAAAATCAGGTGAATTTTGTAGTTTTTACATTTATTATTCATCTGAAGCAATAATTCTTTCTTTGTTTATTTTGATATTTTTCATAGATATGTGAAAAAACGAATAAACTCTTGCGCCAAAAGCCTTAGTCAAGAGTTGCTTTTAATTTTTACGAAACTATTTTCCGGAACCAAAATTTTTTCTGAATTACACTTCATTTAGTTAATGTTTCAAAAATCAATTTACTCTGGTTTTAATAGTGATGTTTTCTCTTCAAATATTTAAAGAAGTAATATTAAAACTATTAAAACTAATATTACATTATACTTCTAGCCATAAAAACAGATAAACAAAATTTAAACCTCAAAACTTATTTCAAATCAAAGAGTAACGTCATTTGTAGTATTGATAACGAAATCAGATTAATTTTCACATTAATTAAGTGAAATGCATATATGGTACCTATTTTCTTATTTGTTATTGTTGTTTAGAGAGATTTTTGTTAATAAAAGTAACCCTCGACAAATCTCTTTGGCTAAACGATTTATTTGATTAATTTTTTCACAGATAGCAAAATATCGAAATAAACAAAAAAAATTGCTTTAAATATTGAATTCTAAAATGCTATAAAATTCACCTAACTTTTTTTCATTTTAAAATAATAAGTAACCAGTTTTATTTTACTAAAAAGTTTATTATTTATCTAAATACCATATTTACGGCGAATCGTTTTGCAATAATTTTAAAACGGAAAGAGATAGGGATACCCTGTCTTCATACTGGTTTTTCATAATTAACGGCCTATCAAACAAAGCAAAAAATATTAAGATGACAATTGATCGTGCCACTGTCAACTAACTTCTATCTGTAAGTATTGTATTGTTCATCCACTACATTAATGTAGAGAAAAACCTAAAACATAACTTTTATTTTTTAGCAAAAACAAGATATATTTTAGTACGATACTGAAAGGAAATTTAAAAAAATCGTGTCAGAAACGACTAGAACTTTTTCAAAGGTCCAATAACTTTTCCAGTCAAAAAAATTTTGAAAAATTTGTAAATTAATATTCGATAATTTTATTATTTCTGAACTTCCTAAATGAAGTAAGCAGTTTATGGAATCAAATAAATTATATAAACACATAACATCTGTGCTCATTTAATGTTCAGATTCAAATTAAACATTAATAATTTGTAATTTTAATGGATAAACCATTTAATAGGGTCGTTTCCTTTGGTGAAATTCGATATAAATTGTTACATTTATGTAATAAAGTACTAATAAAATAAAGTAAAAAATAGTTCTTTTGTTTTTCAAGTTTCACTGGAATAATTCCACGGAATAATAAATTATGACGTAGGTACTGATTCGATAGAAGCAAACATGGGATAACCTCTGTGATAGAGGCAGAATCCCGGAAAAAGTAGCAATTTTCATTAAATAGAATACTGCAGTTCTGTAGTTGTCCGACTCAGTGTACTGGCATTGCCAAAAAACGTCAAAAGTGGGTAAGTGGCAAGTGTAGAAACACAATACACTGAATTGAATCACAACGAAACGCCAACGCAAATATTAAGTACCTATACTATTGACGAATTGTAAGCTGAAATTGTATCAAAATCATAGAATCACTTGTGGATTTGCTTTACAGTTAAACATAAGTAGTGCTAATATGTATACAATAAACATCTAGTAGGTATCTACATCATATAGGTATTGTCTACCTCCTTTTTTGTATTTATAAAATGATTAAAAATAAAAAATGTCAAAATACGTGTTTTACTCAGATGTTAATAATAAAAATAAAAAATATGGGAAAGGACTTTATTATGATTACGAATAGAAAATATTTACAAATAACGGCAGCAATGAAAATAGAAATTGCAGCTTTAGATAATCAATTTTATAATTTTTCTCAAACTTCTGTTCTATAATACCTACATTAGTTCAAATACTTTTCATAACAAACTGCAAACTTCGGTTATTCTCCACCTTAGTCCTCCTGTGCAAATTTGTAAATATTGGTTGTTTCTTTATTTATGTTCCATACATTGGCATTGGTTAATCCATTGCGGAAGAACAGAGATAATTAAATACATTAATTTCGCAATGAGCAATTGAGGGTACCTAAAATGCAGTACCTAGTGGTCATATTTAAAAAAAATTGTTAATCATTTTTTTCTCAAAACAAAAAAAAAACATTGAAGAAAACGAATTTTACTCAACAATAAATATCTTCCCTCAAGAATGTTTCCATCTGAAGTGGGTCACATTGTATACACTGACCCACTAAGAACAAGGACACCCCTCCAAAATTTATTTGGAGAGTACAATTTGAATGAAATATATTGTGTATGCAGTGGCCTTCTAGACAAACTTGTTGAACCAATTATGACAATCCAGTTGGCAATCCAAGGCCTGCTGCAATTTGTTTTAAGAAGAAATTTGCTTCCCGGATCTTTTTTTATTAAATAGTTGGCTTGATAAATTGTTAAACAATTAATATCTAATGTGTTATTATCGTGTACTCGTGAAGAATTATCTACTTTCTCAATGTGAGGTTAGACAAAACTAGATTCATAAATTCAACTCCTTGAATGAAACTGTTAGTGCATGTTTCTTTTTTAATTTTTATTTTCAATATGGTTGAAATACGCAATTAAAAATTGTAAACGGTGAATTAGGTATTCGAAATTCCCAGACTTTTACTGATAGTGCCAACCAAGATTTCCGCTACAGGTTAAGAGATTTATAAATCGATTTAGTTAATTTTTGCCCTTAATTAGGTACCTAAATTATTAGCCCACATTAAATATAGGTATTCAGAGATAGGCGTTTATGAGTAAATAAATATGGTACCTATTTCTTTTAATTTGAACACCCTGTATCTAGAAAATCAGTGGTCTAGTCTTGACCCTTGGTTCATTGTTTTTTTTTTTGAACTTGGAAAACGTTTTGCATATTGTATATTAATAAAAATTAAGAAATTCGAAACCTCAGATAAAATTATCTTGATTTTTATATTTACTTAATACCTATCGTCATCAATAATACTTGGTAGGTATGTAAACAATGAAAAACTCAATAAAAATATAAATTCATGGCCTATGACAATGTTGTCGTCCACCTTGAAATATTAAAAAGGTATTCAAGGTTCAATGTCAAGGCTAAAACCAAACAGGAATTAAATTAAATGTAAGTGAATAATTCAACGTACGATTTTAAAGATTTATCCATATTAGAATATGGAAATACAGATTTTTTTTAAACTGTAGGCTGTAGGTAGGTACATACGGTCTACTTAATTTCGTATTTTATTTTTATACATAATTATACAAATAGTCTAATACTGTAATAATAATGTATAATATTGTAGTAATATTCTATTGTTACGACTGTAATAACAACGAAACAGGATCAATTCCATCGTACTCATTTGTAGCAGGTAGTAGTAAACAAAAAAAAAGAGAAAGAGATAGAAAATAGGAGACAAAATGAGTTAAAAAATTATAAATAAATAAATATAATAATATTGTTAAATATACATATAGGTAAATATTTGCTATTTTAACTTTAATATGTTACAAAAAATACACTACCAAGTGTATCACAGCTTTTACGTCAAACGTATTACATGAGTATATTGGAATAGGTATTGAATAATGACAATATTGTGCTAAGCTTACCTTTTCTTTAACAAGGTGATTAGGCAGGCCAAGTTGAAACACACACACTCATATTTTACATAAAGTTATCTCTTTACATGCACTAAATAAAATCATCATATTTTGTTTGCTGTTACAGAAAGTAGGCTGCCATCTTGTAAATTCCACAATTTACTAGCCAATTACATGCCCGCGCCATCTGACGGGTCTTCCTGCAAACCAGACCGCGGGAACCCTAGATTGAATTTCCGCTTTGAAACCAAAACAATTAAACTTTTTCCTGACAGCCAATAAAACAAATGAAACAATATTTGTCACACAACATTTTAGTTTTGTCAAACTGTGTTTGTTCAATTGAAAAAAATTGTTTAAAAAATGCAAGACTTTCTGAAAGACTTTGAAATATTCTCTCAGAGTTGGTGGCCCTACATCATAACTTTATTTGTAACCATAATAAGTGCCATACGGTAAGTAAAAAATTTTAGATAATATTTTTATTACTATCCAAAAGAAATGAGCTTAAGGAAAACTTAATTACCTATCCATTAAAATTTTTTCTCAATAAGTATAATATATTAAATAATTTTGGATATATTTGATACTAATCACTCAAAAATAAAGTTGATTGTATATTTTTAGAATTTATATAGGAGGCACATACTGCGATAGTTCACATCAAATAGTTGGTAAGAATGTAATTATTACTGGAGGAGCAAGCGGTATAGGCTTTGAAACTGCAAAAGAATTAGCAAAAAGAGGTAATTTAGGGTACAAATTAACAAGCGTAAATATTAATATGAAATTTTCTGCAGGCGGCAATATAATTTTGGCAGTTCGAAATGCAGAAAAAGGTAGAAGGGCTATAGAACGAATCAAAATGTTAACACCAAAAGCCAATGTAGTAATAAAACTATTGGATGTATCAGAATTTTCAAGCATAAGAGATTTTGCAGATCAAATTATAAAAGAATACAACAGAATTGATGTACTAATTAATAATGCTGGGATTATTTTTCATCCATATAAAAAAACTTCAGATGGCAATGAATTGACTTTTGTTACCAATTATTTGGGTAATGCATGAGGAAAGCCATTTTTGTAAACCGTTTAAATTGCAATATTTTTTAGGGCCTTTCTTACTGACACATCTTCTATTGTCAGTTCTAAACAACTCTGATAATGGTAGGGTAATTAATGTTTCTGCTCTTGCACATTTTAATGGCAAACTTAAATTGGATGACTTTAACTCTGAAAAGAACTTCAATGAAAAAGAAGCTTTTTCTCAAAGTAAACTGGCCCTTACTATGTTTACAAAATACATGGCACAGCTATATAAAAGTAAGTATTCATAACAATTTAGCACTAATAAAGAATTAAATGTTATGATAATATTTTCAAAAGTTATAATTTTCAGGTACCAAAATAACATTTAACGCAGTTGATCCAGGCTTGGTAAGAGGCACAGGACATATAGAGAAGTACTCCACACTGGGACGTTCCCTCATAACTAAAATATCTGTGTTGCCTTGGGTTTGGTTATTTCTGAAAACACCCAAACAAGGATGTCAATCTATTGTTTATCTTGCTGTAGATCCAACACTCAATAACGTTTCAGGGTATTATTTCAGGTACATGTTTTTAATTATTTTAGTGCACTGTTCAACAAAAGATATAAAAATTAACAAATTTACTTATATCTGATACTGAATATTGTTTTTTTTAGCAATTGCGAAATTAGGGAACCTTCCGAAATTGTGAAGGATGTGAATTTGTCTAAACTTCTCTACGATAAATCTTGTAGAATTGTAAATATCGATAAAGACAAATTCCTTATAAATAGGGAAATTTCTGATGCTCCTGTAAATAATTTTGAGAATTGAAGAGGTTGTTTGTAAATGTATATATAAATTTTTTAATAAATTACAAGAATCAAATTTTATATCCTTTATATTTAAAGATTGTTATACTGTTAGAATTTCATATAAGCCTTAAAAATACATTTTTTTCTGTGACGGGAAAAAAGTTTGACATTTTATCCGATAAGTAACAAAATGTCACTTTTTATGAAATTACTTTTTCTCTGGGAAAAAAATGAATACTTTTCCCCTATATACGTACACATAAGAACATGGAGATATTTAATTTTAGAATATTTTATTATACAAAACTTACATTCCTTAATGTCAAAAGTACAGCTGTTAAATGTACATTGCATGAAGGACATATGTTTCTCGAACGAATGGGAATGTCTGCTACAGAAGAATTTTCTTAAGTTGAAATCATATTTTCTGCCATGGACACAACTTCGACAAGCTCCTGCGTTCCCAAATAGAACAACCTTATTGGCCATTAAATAAACTTCATCAGCATTATTTAAAAAATCACTAATATGCGTTTTATTATTAATACCGAAAATATTGTTCATTATGCATAAGAAAAATTTATGTGAAAGGAAAAAATTTTAGATCGATATCTTAGGCTTACCAAATTTTGTCAAAGTTTAAAATGTCAGAATTTTTTTTTTGTACTTGCCTTTATAGGAAATTTAATTCGCTACAAAAAAGGTCCTTAGAACAAATCTGTCAAATTAATAATTTCTGAGATAATGGCAATTTTAGTAGAAAAATTGACCTTTTTTACAATATTTATGTTTTTTATAGTGATTGTTTAAATATCCATTTTATACAAAATTTAATTCTCTACAAAAAGGTTCTTAGGAGAAATCATGTCAAATTAATAGTTTTTGAGATAATGGTAATTTTAATAGAAAAATTGGTATTTTTCACAATATTTATGTTTTTTATGGATAAATAGTTATTGTTTAAAGATCTATTTTATAAGATATTTAATTCTCTATAGAGAATTAAATTTCTCCTAAGGACCTTTTTTTATAAAAAAGGTTCTTAGGAGAAATCATTGGATTTTCGGCCCTCCCTAATGTATAATATTTCCCATTTTGCTTAAAAAATGTTTGCAATATTTTGAAATGTCTACATTATTATTTTCATCTTCCATTCCATAAATCTTTAATAGGTGATTTTGTACATTTTCCGCGATTTAGCTGGCAACAATTTTAGTGATGCTACTTTCGCAGCTTCTGCTAATTCCGGTGGTGTAAGAGAAAATTCTGTATCAGAAATGTCCATTTTTGAACTTTGAATATTCAAAATAACTAATAAATAACTTATGTTAGCAATTTTTAAAACCCAATCACAGAATTAAATTAGATATTTGAATACTTTAAAGGGTTCGTTAGCAACGTAGGTCCAATGTCGCTATAAGTGCAACAGCCTACCAGTTTAAAACTTTAAATTTTTTCTGACTAATGCAGTAATATTGTTGAATGTTAACGATATTGCATGGACTAGATGTAATATATTCAGCAACCCAAAGAGCAATAAAGTAATAAACAACCGAAGGGACAGTTTCTTGACCTGCAAGTACGGAGGGCACCAAGGACCGACCGACCACCCAGTTAGTTAGTTCTTTCCAAGCATTCAAACACGCCGCGTCTACTTTCGATATATTGTATTTCTGTATTAGTCATTTATAACAATTCTTGTTTTATCAATAAACAATTGCAGTTATGTGTTCCAAATAAAACGATTCATTCCACTGAACCACTCCGACAGGTTATGGGCCCAGGATATTTGGAATTCAAAGCAAGTATTAAATATTGATTATAAAAAGAAATCAGTGACAGTTAAAAATGGCTCAAGGCACAAGTGCGCGATATACAGTTGAAAAACTAAACAACGAAAACTACGCAGTATGGTGCTACAAGATGGAAATGCTACTCAAGAAAGAAAAAGTGTGGGAAGTGATTAAATCGAATGCACCGAATCCAGTGAACCAACAATGGAAAGACAACGACGAACAAGCTCTCTCATCTATAGCATTAAACATAGAAGACAATCAGATTTGTCACATTCGTGGCGCTGAAAGTGCAAAGGATGCTTGGACACGTCTAAAGGATTATCATCAAAAGGCATCGCTGAGTAGTGTAGTGTTCTTGTTGAAAAATTTATGCACGCTGCGATTAGCTGAAGGTGGAGATATGGAAAATCACGTAACAACGTACACTGACATTGTGGATAAATTAGCAGCGTTAGGAGAACCACTAAAAGACAAATTGCAGGCTGCAATGTTGCTTGTAAGTTTGCCTAACTCATACGACCCTTTAATATCTGCAATTGAAAGCAGACCAGACAAAGACTTTACATTTGAATTTGTCAAAAGCAAGTTAAGGGATGAGTACAAGCGACGGAAAAACCAAGCAAATAGCGGCGACAGTGAAACTGCGATGAAAGCAAATTTTCAGTCACATAAGTCTTCAGAAAAGTCGAATAAATCGACGTGTTTCTTCTGCAAGAAAATAGGCCACTTGAAGCCGGAATGTCGAAAATTTGCCAAGTGGAAAGCCAAGCAACAGAGCAAACAAGATTCTGCAAAAACAGTGAATGAAAGCATCGACTTGTGTAAAGTGGTTACATATGTAGACACGGAATTATGTCTAAAAAGTGTCGAAGAAAAATCAAATCCATGGATCGTCGATTCAGGAGCCACGTCGCATATGGCAAATTCAAAGGAATTGTTCACGACGCTCGACGAAACCATAAAAGGAATAGTTCGCTTCGCGGATAAAGAAGGATCGGCAAAGGTATTGGGTTCCGGGTTAGTGTCATTGAACTGTGCAGTGAACAATAAAGTAGTAAAACTGCAGGCCCAGAACGTGCTTTACGTACCGAAGCTGGCGTCTAACCTTTTGTCAGTAAAACAGTTGGTCAAAGACGGTTATGATGTGAAGTTTTGTTCAGAAAAGGGACAGTGCGAGATAATTAAGGAAGGGCATATTCACGCTACAGCACGTTTATCACCCGAATTGTACGAACTAAGAACGCATGAAGCTTTTACAACGGTACAGCTTAAACACAAAGCATTTTGCGAGCACTGGTGGCACGAAAGATTTGGCCATCGAGACATTACCGCCATAAAACTATTAGCGAAGAAGAACATGGTCACCGACATGAAGATAGAAGAGTGCGAAATAAGCAATAATTTTTGTGAGTGCTGCGTAAAGGGGAAGCAGACGAGGAAACCTTTTCCAAAGCATGCAGGTAAAAACTCGACCGAGATTTTACAACTAGTGCACACAGATGTCTGCGGGCCAATAAACCCGCCCACTCCTCGGAATAAGAAGTACGCCCTAACTATAATCGACGATTATAGCAGGTATACGCACGTATATCTTTTGGAGAGGAAATCCGAAGCCGCTGTAAAAATCAAGGAATTTGTCCAGATGACAAAAACAGCCTTTGGAAAGAAGCCAAAAATCATTCGATCAGATAGAGGACTTGAATATGTTAACGCGGAATTAACGTCATTCATGAAAAAGGAGGGAATTCAAGCTCAGCATACAGCTCCATATACACCCGAGCAAAATGGCATTGCAGAACGGAAAAATCGCTCTCTCATCGAGATGGTCAGGTGCATGCTTATTAGTGCAAATTTAGATCGCAAGTATTGGGGAGAAGCGATTCACACCGCAAATTACTTGCAAAATAGATTGCCATCGAGAGTCATCGATAAGACGCCGTTCGAGCAGTGGCACAGTAAAAAGCCAAGTGTCAAAGATTTGCAAGTTTTTGGAGCACGAGCATTTATGCACATCCCGAAAGAAAAAAGATTAAAATTAGACAACAAATCGGAAGAATTAATCTTCGTGGGATACTCAGAAGAATCAAAGGCTTACCGACTACTCGACACTAAGACGTCGAAAATAAGAATCAGCCGAGATGTTATATTCGCCGAAATTGCAAAAGACTCGAAAGACTGCAGCATTAGTGAGAGTGAAGTGATTATTACTCAGGATAATTCCAACGGAAGCGAAAATATTAATGCCGAATGTCAAGATCAAGAGTCAATTAATAACGATCATCAAGAACGAGCGCCAGAGAATGAAGTTCGAAGATCGGAAAGAGTGAACAAAGGAGTGCCACCAGATTACTATATGGGAAAAGTTAACCTAGCAATTCACGAAGACCCGACAACAAGACAGGAAGCTCTTTCAAGACCAGACAAGGACAGCTGGATTAGTGCAATGAACGATGAAATTGCTTCTTTAGAAAGTAATAAAACGTGGACATTAGTTGACCGGCCAAAGGACCGAAATGTCATAAAATCAAAGTGGGTGTTCAAATCCAAGCGGAATCCGGACGGCACTGTGAACCGTCATAAAGCAAGGCTCGTCGCACGTGGGTTTTCACAAAAATTCGGTTCGGACTATGATGAGGTTTTTGCGCCCGTCGTAAGACATCAGACCTTATTGACGCTACTGTCGATCGCAGGTATGAAAGGCATGCATACGCACCATTACGACGCAAAGACAGCTTTCCTCAATAGTACGCTCAAAGAAGAATTATTTATGGAGCAGCCCGAAGGTTATAAAAATCAGCAGTACGACCATAAAGTGTGCAAGCTAGAAAAGAGCATTTACGGATTAAAGCAGGCAGCTAAGTCATGGAGTGACACGCTCAGCACAGCACTAAAAGATTTTGGATTCATTCAGAGCGAAGCCGACCCTTGCTTGTATATTAAAAGGATTTCCAATACGACAATATACCTTGTAGTATACGTGGATGATTTTATAATTGCTTGCAAGGAAGAGCAAATAATAAATGATATAGCCGATAAACTCAAGGTATATTTTAATTTATCTAATCTCGGTATTTTGCATCATTACTTGGGCATGAAAATAGAGAGAGATAATGAAGGCATTTATTACCTTAATCAATCGCACTATATCGACATGCTTCTACAAAAGTTCGGCATGACAGATGCAAAGCCATCAGCTATACCAATGGATCCAGGATACTTAAGATCAAGGAGTGAAGAAGAAAAATTTATGGACAACAATCTCTATCAACAATTAATAGGCGGACTCTTATATATCGCATGTCACACAAGGCCAGATATAAGTGCTACCGTCACAATTCTGAGTCAACACAATAAAGATCCAAACCAAGCAGATTGGATAGAATCAAAGAGAACGCTTCGCTATTTAAAAGGAACGAAGCACCTTTCCCTAATGCTCGGAGATCCATCCGACGAAATAAAACTTTTATATGGATACGCCGATTCAGATTGGGCACAAGACAAATCAAACCGTAAATCCAACAGCGGGAACATTTTTAAGTTCAACGGAAGTCCCATTAGTTGGATGTGTAGAAAGCAAACTTGTGTTGCTCTGTCTTCAACTGAAGCAGAGTATATAGCACTGGCAGATGCTTGTCAAGAGGCAGTATGGTTACGTCGACTCTTATCAGATTTTGGAGAAGAACAGACTCAAGCGACTTTAATATATGAGGACAATCAAGGATGTATAAAATTAGTCGCAAATAATAAATTAAGCAACAGGACAAAGCACATAGACACGAAGTTTCATCACGTAAAGGATTTGACGCAGAAGAAGATCATCGATTTACAATATTGTCCGACTGAAATAATGCTGGCTGACCTATTAACAAAGCCACTTAACAAAATTAAATTGCAAGAGTTACGAATGAAGTGTAACGTAGTCAATGCATCATCGAGGAAGGGTGTTGAATATTAACGATATTGCATGGACTAGATGTAATATATTCAGCAACCCAAAGAGTAATAAAGTAATAAACAACCGAAGGGACAGTTTCTTGACCTGCAAGTACGGAGGGCACCAAGGACCGACCGACCACCCAGTTAGTTAGTTCTTTCCAAGCATTCAAACACGCCGCGTCTACTTTCGATATATTGTATTTCTGTATTAGTCATTTATAACAATTCTTGTTTTATCAATAAACAATTGCAGTTATGTGTTCCAAATAAAACGATTCATTCCACTGAACCACTCCGACAAATATGTTTTTTTTTTTTAATATTAAATCGTCGTTTTCCCATCACAGAAAAAAATGATGTATTATACACAGGTAAAAGTATTGGATTTTAACTCTCAGTGTCTTGTCAAATAGAACCTCGAACTAAAATCTAATATATTTTTCCCTTGTATAACAAATAATTATTAATAAATATTTGCTATATTTATCGTTTGATGATACAGTTACTTACAAAAAAATAAAATAAAAGATTGTCAGTGATTTCTGTTTATTTGTATAAGGTGTTACAATTATTAGGTGTAAACATTTTACCAAAGCCCCTTATCAAATATGTATGATTCAATACCAAAATATTTTCTTAAAAAGTTACGGACTTTCAAAGAAACTTTCTGTTTAATTTCTTTACCATAACTATAACTTTTTAAAATATTTCAATGAAACTTGACGTACGAGCCCTAACAACTTAATGTTCGGACAAAATGTAGTTTAAATATAAAACAGCTATACAAACTTTATATACTGGGTGTAACGTAAAGGTTAGGAATAAATTAAACGGTGGATTTTTTGGTTTAAAAAATAATAAAGATTGACTTTGTAAGTTACTCTGTGGCGTGCGTACGGATTCTACCGTAAGGTTTTTGGAAGAAAATTGTGGTATGTCACTGGTAAAAACATTTTTTTATGATCCACTTTTTATTTTAAATAAAATTACCCTCTTGCGTTTTATTTCTAGTTCTTGTTATTTTTCCATAAATAAAACTTTTATAAACACCATTTTTTCCCACTGGAAAATAAAAATAGCAGAAACATGAAGTATGCTTTGACTCAGCCACGGAACATGGTCAAATAGGCATTGAAAAAAGACTTGCATTGAAAATGATATTTAAAAACTAAATTTTTTGAAATATTTTAGTGTCGTGTAGCTTGGAAAAGAAAACCCGTAGAGCATAAACTTTATACGACAAATATTTATTTTTGAAAATAAAAAATCCACCGTTTAATTTATTCCCAACCTTTACGTTACACCCTGTATTTATTTTATATAGTGAAAACATTTAGTTCCAATATTATACGTATTTATTTTCCTATATTTATGTATTATGGGATAAAACCCTAGAAACGAAGTTTTTTTAAATATATTTGTAACTTGGATTTAGCCCGAACGAGTCTGTTCCTTTTTTGACGTTCAGTTAGAAATGGCTTTTCTTTAGCCTATAAATAAAAAGAAGTAAATGAGTGTTATTTTATAGTTTATTCAAGAAATATATCAACTACCTTGTAAAAATTCAAGCCAGACTTATGAAACCATATCCTACAATATTCTCTGGGTACATTTAAGCCGCAGTGTTTGTTCCACTTGGCTGTAATTGCACGCACAGTGGCTCTTCTGTTAGTTTTACAAATTTGTACCAATGTTTTTTGGTCTCTTTGTGACACATGTTTAGGTTTTCCTTTACTTTTGCCTCTTATATTGACGCTGCTTGTTTCCCCATACAATTTAATAACATCACCGACAGTAGATTTTGCGATATTTAAACACTTACTAATTTTTTCCATCGAATTACCTTCATGATACAGTTTAACAATAATTTCTCGCACTTTAATATCAGTTGCTACACCACGAACCATTGTTGTTGACAGCAATAAGATGAATAACAATATGCGTTACTTGTTTTTATGTTTAAGCACCACCTACTTAGCAAAATAACGCAACATAGCGTTTTTATATATTCCTAGACGTTCGTCAACTTTAAATGTCCGAATAAATGTCAGAATAAATTGGTATTTTTGTTGGTGTTACCTTACAAGACGATGCAGAACACTTCTTTTGTAGCATATTACCACATAATTCACATATTTCGAAAGATAAATACCAATTATACTGATCATAAGTGGTTTCACTATATAAAATAAAAATATGTATTTTACATAGCTGTTTTATATTTAAACTACATTTAGTCCGAACATGAAGTTATTAGGGCTCGTAGAGGAGTTTTTGAGATGATCAAATATGAATACAAGCTTATTTTTTATTTAAAATATCACTATGAATACTTGTTTTTTTTTTGCAAAATTTTTTGTTGGTAGGGATTTTGAGAACACTGTTTTTTGAAGTCACTTTATTTGCTGTAAATGATGCACATACTTTTCTGTTGGATTTTTAATATATTTTCTTTACATCAACTTTTTATTTAAATAAATGAGCATATCTTCAGATTAGTTGTAACACACCAGGTATAAATTTTCTAACACGAAATATTATTGACATTTTCTTATGATAGAATAAGAAATTTTACTACAAATTTCTATATTTTAACATTATTAAAGATAAATAGAAAAATAACGTTGAGAGCAGTGCCTAATTTAGTGGGGCGGAGGGGCTGTAGGCTGAAAATTGGTGGGGACCTATTCAAAAAATTATATTTTTATGTTAACATGGTGGGGGCCTGTAGGCTGCAGCCTACACCAGCCTATAGGTAAATCAGGCACTTGTTGAGTCTGTAAACTATGATTTAAAAAATAAAAATAGAAAAGATACACTTGCGATTTTCTTTCAGTTAACCTCACATTTTCTAAAGGCAGTAGAATTTTCAGAGGTTGGAAGCGGTGGAGGTAAAAAAGACTTCAATTTATTTGAGCAAAGGCTGACGTTTTCCGCACCTGGGTGACTGGGGGCAACTACTATTTTAACAAAGACTAAACTTGTAGTATAAATGTATATCTGAATTGTTTAACTACAAAATGGTGTAGTGGGTGGTGGGTGTCAGAAGTAAAAAATCGATAGCAGGTGCATATTGTTGGATTGATTCCGGAATAGAATGGGAATGGGCATTTAATTGCAAGTATATTCTGAATTGGGTTGCAAACTTTGCTTCTGTGGTTTGGGACGGAATTAATAGAATTAAGTGGTGGAGAGATCAAATTTGTGAGGTTACTTAGGTGTAACTGTCACCATTATGTGTTTTGTGTACTACAGGAATTACTAACAAATTGTTCATGGTTTTCGAAAAATTAAAACTATACAAGCCAAACCAAACCAATAATAAACAGGTTATGATAATAATAAATGGCCCGTTGACATTTGGTACCTGTCAAATGTCAGATTTGATTTGTATCGTTTTATTGATAAATGTCATTTTAAAGAATCCAATAAATCCGGGACCAATTCAACAAAATGCACCTAGCAATTCACCTATCTTCGTCTTAAACCTATGAAAATTTCAAAGCCATCTTATTTTACGTCTTGAATTGGCACTGTCACATAATTTATACAGATGGTTGTCAATAGAAAATTTATCTCCATGTAAAAAATGAGAAATACTCTGTTTATAAACAACAATATATTGCTATATATTCAAAATGAGAAATATTTCAATTTATAACCAACAATATGTTGCTATATATTTAATCGTGTCCACTTCTCACTTACAGCCCACAGCCATTTAGAAATATTTTCATCTTTAGCTTCTTCACTGACATCCACTTCTTCATAATCACTGAAATAAAAAAATTTTTATGAGAACATCAGTACTAAACAAAAAGGTTTTTTATTTGCAAGGTTTATTTAAAGGGTTTTGCAATACTCCAATAATACAATTTTGCGGGTAATTTGCTGATCAAAATTAAGAAATAGTAATTTACGTTGCGTGACTGGATAGTAGTGTTTAGTTTAGTACACTATTTTTTGTACGATTGATACTATAACATACTCATACTGTTATTCATTTTAATAAATTTTCTAACAATAATAGATATAACAAACAACAACGAAGGTAATTATTTTGAAATACATATTTATGTTAAGTGTATACACATACATTTTGTGAGTGTTAGATATTTGAAGGGGATACATTTCTGAAATGCTGGGAACTGTCAAACCTGTTGGTATGGTACTAATAAAATTGGTTTGCTGCATATTTTCATTCAAACATCTTATTTGAATTTCGTTTTAACTTTGTTTTGGCTGGAATCTTCAAGATATACTTCCACTATAGGAAGATTTTCATCCCTTGTGCCTTTTTAAATTTATATCACTGCCTCCATCTGCTAATAGAACTATTGAGCCTCGACAAAAGCAGTTGTCTATGAATTCACCTGGATATTTTAATTCAAGGTAGTCCATAATTCTGCTAGGAGTTTTTCCCTCAGAATTCATTCATACAACTTAGGTTGAACACTTTCCACTTTTATAAAATATAAACAGCCGTCTATGGTCAGTGGTACCTACTAGCAATACTGAATCGTTTCCACCCTAAACGGACCAAACCCCTCCACCTCCTTAAATGAGATGATACACATTTACATTGAATAAAATGAAAAAGAAAAAATCAATAATTATACATACATGTTAGTGCATATTTGATTACCCACTTTAAATGTCATGATTCTGAATTCATAATTGTAATCAGTGATCCAAGAAAGTTTCTACAAACAAATTTTTGAGGTTTATGAAGATCTTTTTAATTTTTTTGTCCGCCATATGAAATATGTCACTTTGAATTTCGTAATTCTGCCTTCAAATTCCTAATCAGAGACCCAAAAACCCCACTACACAAAAATTCATGCATTTTAAAGACATTATAATTTTTTTATCCGCCATATTGAATCCGCCATTTTGAATTTCGTGATTTAGAGTCCAGATTCGTAATCATAGACCCAAAGAATCCCATTACAAAAAAATTCATCATGCATTTTGAAGACATTTCAATTTTCTTGTCCGCCATATTGGATCCGCCATTTTGAATTTCGTGATTCTGAGGCCAGATTCGTGATCAGCGACCCAAAAAACTCTTCATATGTAAGATTCATAGGAATTGAATGAATTTCGCATCTCTAAGCTCTAAAGATTCCTCTAATAAGCGATGGTTTCCCTAGCATTTAAGGGGGTGGAGGGGGAAAGGAGGGTAAGGGAGCTAGTCCGTTTAGGGTGGAAACGATTCAGTATTGCTAATAGGTAGCCAAAAAAATTTTTTCAGATTTTTTCAGCCAAAATTAAGTTAGGCCAAAAACTGGCCTTAGGGACCCTCCTCCTTTGTTGAACTAATTTTTACTTTGTTTTTTGTTTCTAGCATACTTCAAGTTTAAGATATTCGTTATTGGGAGCGTTAATCAGAAATGTTTTAATTAGCTCCCTTGTAAGAATCTTAGGTTTTTTCATCCTATTATTCAACCAAGAGGCTTTTTAACAAGTAGCAACATTTGAAAAATTTCATATATTTTTTTTGGGCCAGTATGGATGTGAGCATTAAGTGTAAATTTCAAAAATAAATCAAAAGTCACCGACATTTATTGATTGTAAGGCTTTCACGGCCCGTGTTGATGTTTAAAGTACGATGATATTTCGGATTGTTATGTACCATAAGGTGGTGACCAGGACAACGGCAAAACAACCCGGAAAACCATCATACTATATCCCCTACGTTTTTGATGTTCTTCTCTTGACACCAATTCATAAAGCCTTGTGCACTTCTCATATCGAGATTTCGATTTTTCCTGTGAAATATTGCATGTTGCCTTCGAATTTACCTCCAAAGAATTTAATTTTTTTTAAATTTGTAGTTTCAAAATCTGAATCCATACTTCCATTCCATTCATTTGCAAAATTCACAAAAATGATGACGTTTTTATTTGATTTACCTAAATAGAACACAAATCCATCTCCATAGTAGTAAAAGCAAAGCAGACTTTTCCATGAGTTTTTGTGGTATTCTTTCACGTAGAAGGTACAGAAAAAGGAAAAAGCCAATATTGCTATTGATGATTTCTAACGAACATTTTCCAACTTTATTTAGTAAAATGTAAATTTCTATCAGAAAAATTCTTCAGAAACTGCTCATTTTTGAGGTCAGGGTTATAAAGTACCATTCTTTATATTCTCATTTGTTTTACACATTCTTTAAGGCTCCTCCAGTCCTTGTGAATACTTTTGTTGCAACGACACAGGGAAAAAGTTCTTTGTTTTGTGTTTTAATTTTTTGATATCGTATTTTTTATGTTTAGATGGCATTTATTAAAATGTCACATTTTGTATGTAATTTGTTAGCTAGATTTAAGGCCCATAAACTAAAATGTTCTTTAAATTTAATATAGCTTTAAAGCATTATCACAACAATATGTTACTATGGTAACTAATTAGCTCTATTTTTAAAGTCGACTTTAGTGTAACTATGAAAATGTCCATGGCATGGCACAGCCCGTTCCATCACAATACGAATTGAAATAAAACAAAGCGTTTGAAGGCGGTTGTGCATTGAATCACGTTGTTTTAATTCTGTCCATATTGTGACGGAACAGACCATGCTGTGCTGTAACGAGCAACTTTAGTCTGTCAGTGAATAGGGTCCTCGGTACAATCCAGCTACCAGAAAAGCTGTAACAGAATACTAAAACTTTATCAGCTGTTACCTCAAAAACGAAGGGTTTTTTGTTTTTGATACACTGTACAATTTTGTTGGTGGAATACTGCAATACTCAAATATAACCAAATCTAAAATTGAATAAATAATAATCACAAATTAACTTTCATACCAGAAGTATTTTCCAGTTACTTTTTCTATTGATTCATCGAGTGCCAAATATATAATAGTTTGTGCTCCTTGCTTTGGATTTTTAATAAAAGGCCAAACAAATGGTTTGACCAATACAGTGGCCATCCAACTACTGTAAAAGCTCATGTGCCTAATTATTTCTGTATCTACTAAACCAGGGTGCACAGAGTTGACTGTAACACCAGTTCCTAAAAAGATAGGGGTTTATAAATTATTTACAGCAAGAGTGGGGGAAGCGAAGAGTATTATTAAGAACTTACTTTATGGTGTTTATATGTATAGGGTAGGTCAATTTTGTTGAGATTTTTTTTATTTCCCAAGGAAACAAACACAAAATCTTGGGTTCAATTTTCAAGAATGGAAACTGAATGGAAATAGATGAAGAAATGTTCCATAGACAATCACTTTGAATGTATCCTAATATAGACTAAAACCTTACCTTGTAATTTGTTGGCCAGTTCTTTGGTAAATAACACATTAGCTAGTTTGCTTTGAGCATAGGCATCAGAAGCGTTGTAATTTTTATCACTATTCAAATCATCTTTATTTATTTTCCCTCTTTTATGTGCCACACTTGAAACATTTATTATTCTACTGGGGGTAGATTCCTGTAATTACATAAATTTAGTATACCTACTGCATTAACTGTAGAAAGTACTTTTTTGCCACTAAACAATATAAGTAAAGCTCTAAAGATACTGTCAGCTCTTTAAGATTGCAAATTAAACCTCATGTTTACAACGTTTTTGTCATTACTTTGAGTAGATCCAGCAACAGGTTTGTAAGTAGAAAATGTCCCATATGATTAACTCCCAGCTGCATTTCAAAACCATCTTTCGTCTTTGTGTTTGGAGTATTCATGACACCAGCATTGTTAATCAATACATCAAGTCTCTTCTGTTCTGATTTAAAAATTTTAATAAAATCCCTTACTGACTGTAGGGAAGCTAGATCACATTTTCTGCAGTAAACATACTTGTTCTTTGTATCCAAGACAATTTCTTCTCTTGCCTAAAACAAAATCAGTTTTTAACATAATGAAATATTAATTTAATCTTAAGAATACTATCTTTGTAATGTTCTAAAACTATTTAGCGTAAAGGCCTACTTAATATGTATTTAAGAAATAGAAATCTATATATTTTTTAATAAAAAAATTATTCCTTTACTTGAATTTACTATAAAATATTCAACAGCCATAAGAACTCATTTTATATAAGTATCGTAACGATTTAACTATTAAAAACCGTTACAATTTATTTTGTACAGTTTGATCTATGTAGCCAGTATAAGTTTAATAGAATTACAGCAAAAAAATACATGATACAATAAATAAATAATACTTACGGTTTAAAAAGAATATAGAAATGAATTTATATTAGTGTTAAATTCAGAATTTTTTTGAAAATTATTACCTACTTTTTCACATCGTTTCATATCACGACATGCCATATAAACCTTTGCACCTCTTCTTGCTAATTCCCATGTTATTTCTTTTCCAATACCAGTATTAGCTCCTGTTACAATGATAACTTTATCTTTTGCTGTTACACCTTTGCCTTGATATCTTTGGCCACCAACCAGTTCTCTATCAACATTTTCATTAAAGTTCATTTTAAAATAAGGTAAGTAACATTATTTTTTATTATCTTATACAGAGAGATCTAGAATGATTGAAGTGTTTGGAGATCGCAGCCTGTGCCTGTCTCTGTCAATACTACAAATTTTTATATGTTAAAGATGGTGTTAGAAAAAGGCTGCGTTCCCCAAACGCTTCAATCATTCTGGATCTCTCGGTATAATGCAGTTTTACACGTTCTTGGTCAAAATTAGTACAAAGAAAATGTAGAAATGACAGCAGCAATGTTAGCTTTCAACTAGCAGTATCTGATACACGTTAAATTTAAAAATGTTGTGCCGATATTTTTTAGTGAGAATTTCTTTTATTTTACAACTTCATTATTCTGTTGCTTACTTGAAAAAATTTGTTTTTGGTTTTAGCAAATAAATGCAAAATTTTGGGATCTTGTTTTTGCAAAACTCCTTTTTTGTAAAAATTATGTATCCCTAATAATAACCAATATAAATTAATTAATTTTCAACATCTAAAATTTTTATTTTAATTTTTAATGTTTAGAAACATTTATTTGTATGTGAAGGTGAACATCACGATTTTTGAGTTATGCTTGTTAGTAATTTTCTTAATGATAGTCGAGTAATAATATACTTTTCAATTTTACTTGGAAACTGTCTTTTACCAATATATTTCAATAGCAATAATTTTTTCAATTTCCATAACTCTACTCTTTAACGGCAAGGAGTTAAACTTGCATTTTCCAAAGCTTAGAAAAAATATATTGAAAAAAACGTTGCCAATGGGTTAATTTCAAACTGCTATCTCTTCCTATGGAATTGGAATTGAATTATAGAAGACAGTTAATTTTATTCTCGTTTTCTAGGTATTTACTATTATATAGTATAACGTAATTTTGCATTATACTTCTAAAAAATAGAACTGTTGGAGTTAATTCTGTAAAATATTGATTTAACATGTATTAACTTAGGTACATAAGTGATGCATACTTTGTTAAATAGGCAAATCCAATTACTCCAGCTACTGCTGATCCAATATAAAGTGGATTTGGTATTTTTCTGGAAATATTTTTAAACATAGTATAATATTAACTTTTCCTGGTGAGAGTGTAAACATAACCCACCAAACATTCTACATCCTTTATCCTCTTCTTCTTCTTTTATCGACCTTAGCCCATTTGACATTTAGCGAATTCTGTAAATAGCTGTTTTACATTGACAATTTATTGATAAATAAATTGACGAAGTTCTTCATGAATTAATTCAAGAATTTATTGGTAGTGTGGTTTTACACTGCTACAGAACATACTTTGTCAAGTTTTTTGACGCATGATCGCATGAATCAATTCTACCAACGAATCAAAGAAGCAAATAAATTTCAAAAATGTCATCTTTCCCCTCATAACTGTAGTGATACAACAGCGGTACCATTCTGACACATATTATATAAATATTAGTTTTTGTAAGTAACAAATCAGTAAAAACAATGCAAAACTACCACGACGCCACACAATTATTTACATATTCCAATAACATAACCTCATTACTGATCTGAGGGTGGAAATCTGTTGGGTTGGTACTTCCGAACTTCACGAAGAAATTGACGAAAATTAGAATATGCTCTATTCGTCAAGAACTTGATGAATAAATTCATGAAGTTATTTGACAGCAGATTTGGTACATTACACTTGTCCAATTTCTTGATGAAGCGACTTCATGAATTAATTGATCAATAAATTGTCAATGTAAAACAGCTATAACATAAAATGTATTCTTTCTCCTTTTTCTGCCTGGAAAATGTGATAAAGTTATTTCAAGAACATGTAGAGAATTTACTGCTTTTTTTTTCCACAAATAACAAACAAATTACAATAATCCTCATTAGTAGGTATAATTTAAAAGATCCACAGGCATTTCTATTTAAATTTTCAGCAAAAACTATTACTGACATAACAATAATTTAGCAAGTAACTTAACAAATGTCAAGTTATTTTAATTGTGTTACCTAATTGTTTAATTAATTGTGACGGAGTGTTTTTGGTCACAGCCAATTTGACAAAAGGTCTGATAAGAGAAAAAGTCTCCAAAAAAATAGAAAATTGTAAATATCTCTAAAAGTAGTAACGGCAACCCTAACAATGCTTATATGGCTTGAAAGGAAATTTCAATCTGCATACGATAGAGTAAAAAAATACAGTGTTCTATTTAAGTTAACAAAGTTATAGCTGTTTGAAATTATCAAAATGTAACAGCAAAAATTAAACACCTAGTATGAAATGTTTTAATTTGTTGGTATACTATAATTTAGTGTTACCTATGCCCTTTAAAAATTAATATCTCATATTCTCTAACTCCTAAGTATAGAAAATAATTAATAAAGTGACCCTCAAATTTCACGTAGAATCCGAAAATGCAATAATATATAGGGTGTCCCATTTAAAATAAGGAAGTTGGTGGCAAATGGCAATTTTCGGTATAAGCGGAAGTGCAACAGTTTTGAAAATATTTTTATTGAGAAGTTTACGGCCGGTAACCTGGGTATTCAAATTTTCAACAAAATTCTATCATGCTAACTTTCTATCATTCTCATAAAGTTGCTCCATTTGGGCGGTATACGGCCCTGAAGCCAATTTTGAAATCATCTTTTTTTATAAATTTAAACCGCCTTATGCCATTTTGCTAAAATTTAGTCAGTTGACACCGCTCTATAGGACAATAAACCCTATATCAAAATTATGAGTAATATTAAACCATTGGCGTAGAACATGGGTTTAGTAATTACACCTTCCATAATTATACACAAATGGAGGAAAAGAATTAAGATTATTTACTATAAAAAAGGTACTCTTAATAAGCCTCGATTACTTTCATGATTTATTTGAAAGTAAATGTAATCATTGGCAGCAATGACACAAAATTTAAATTAGGTGATAATCTTTAAATCAAATTGAGACTTTATAACAAACACACTGTTTTTGTGTATTAGCTTTTTCCGGTATATGATTTTTCACAAGTTTTCATCAAGTAGGTACTTGCCTTTACACAAATAATTTTGATTGTTGGTTTTGGTTGTCACGGTTTCATGTAAATAAAACTTTTAAGACACCTACCTAAATTATTTCTAAGATTCAAAAGTTTCTCATTTACTTAACAATTTTAATTAAATTTCCATTTATCATGGATACACCAATGCAGAATATGCCGATATGTTATTAGTTTTTGAATATTGTGAAGGTGAAGGAAACGGTCGAGAGTGTGTCAGACTGTATATTCTGAAAGATTTCCAAATCGTCGTATTCCAAGCCATTCAACGTTTGCTGATGCTTTGCTCCTGACACCGCGGATTATTATGTAAGGGTTCCTGAAGTTGACCAGGGAACATTGGAATATGTTGAAGAAAATCCGAAACTAAGCACAAGACGATTAAATAGAGAAATAGGAGAAAAACGATTTGCGAAAAATTGCAACTTCAGGGCCGTACACCGCCCAAACAGAGCAACTTTGAACTAAGGTAAGTTTAGCTAATTGTAAGTCGACTTATTTTGAGCCGAACAGTATCTGCCGTAGCGTTGCAAAAAGCACGTAAATAAAAAAGAACGACCGAGTTTAAGACCTTTTAAAAATTATAGATTATTTTTTCATTTAATGGTATTCTACAAACAATCGATTTGAACTGTCTGTTATTTTTGTCATGGTCTTTGACAACAGCGTAAATATGGTTTATACTATTTTTATTTTTTTGACGAAATGTGTTGAGTTCGGCTCAAAACATTACCTTCTAGAGACCTTCTAGTCTCTCTAGTCACCTAGACTTTATCTTAAAAAATGTCTGTTTTTAGCTTCATCACCAGTTTTAACTTCTCACATTCTATTTTTAGTGATAGTATTCATGGGCGTTCGCAGAAAACTGCCAGGTGATAGAAAGAGGCGGGCAATAAGGATAAATGCAAGTCACCAAAAGCTAGAAAATACAATTGGCTGAAGCCACTAAAAACTAATAAAAACAATAAGAACTTATCAATCAATATTTTTTATTTGATTGCACTTTTGTGCCTTAGGTGCGGAAACATATCCGTACAATTATATTAATACTCTAAATTAAAAGGCATTCACATTTTTTGTTGATAGGGGATTCATTCTTTTATTTCATTTATTTTATTCTCATTAAACTCCGCGGTCGAAATTATAAAGAGTGACTAAGACATAATATAAAAACACTGTTACCATAATGCGTATAAAATATAAAATTATTTTTATACGGTTCAATATTATTTATCTTTGTGCCGCTCTCTACGCACATCGATAGAATCTATAATCGTCTAGAGACCGAGTTACACTGAACGTCGATCTATATTCTATCTCTGTCTTTTGCACTTGGTAGGGAATAGGGAAATGCTTTTTTAGTGGGTGTAAACGGACTTGATTTAACCTGTCCTGAGAAACGTTATAGCATAAGCGTAGACGAGGGGTCTAATTCCATGGCTATAATAAATTTATAAATTAAAAAAACACAATTGGGACGTTTTAAAATGCTGTAATAATTAAAATGGATCAAAGTGCCTGTTATAGCAAACCGTAAAAAATATTAGATGTTATGTTTTATTATCTTTTTTCATTATTTTCTATATCTTGTTGCCTTTTACGCAGACACGCCAATGGATTTTCGTTCCCGGCACGCTTCATCCCCCTTACTAGTCCAAAAGCTAGCGATGAATCACTCTCTATAATTTCGACCGTGGAGTATAGGTATGTACCTACATATGTTTTTTATTTTTACCGCAATTAACAGTGTTAGTTTTTATAGTTATTATCTTATTTGTTCCCTTTTAAAGATTGCTGTATAGCCTCAAGAGATTTCCCAGAAGTTTCAGGCACAAGGAATAATGACAAGATGGACGACAAGAAACAGGTGCAGGTAAAAAACAGAAATGGTGCATACAGCCCTACATAAGTAGTTAACAGATAAAAAATTCTCGTAACTATGATAATCATTAGACCAAAAAACATATTTAGAACACATAATCCTTTGACTTTAATGCTAGCTGAAAATAATTCTCCAAGCATCAGAGTTGGAATTAAGCCTAAGCCAATAGAGTAGAAAACTACATAGAGTAATACGGCTGTTATTGGTATCCAATTTAAAAATTGTATGTTAATTTGTGTTTGGAATGTGTCTATGTAAAAATAAATTGCTTCGATTAAAGTAAAAATACCACAAAATAAAGTTGAAATAAAGTAAGATTTTCTTCTTCCCAATTTCTCCAAAACTGATCCACCAACAACATTTAAAACGACTATGGCAGCAAAGAAAATCATTGAAGAAACTTCTGAGCTGAGATTTCCTCCAGATTTTTCGAACATGTATTGAGTGTATAGCATAAAAGCTGTTATACCACCTAGTTGCTGAGAAGCCCTTAGAAATATACCAGCGTAAAGTGCCCTTCTGTTGCTGACTATCACGAATAAGTCTTTCCATGTTCCTGATTCAGACATTTGTCTTTCGACGTCTTTTTTAAGTATAAGGAACTCCTCTTCAACGTCTTGCTTTCTTCGGAAGTATCTTACAGATTCCTTTGCTTCTTCGTATTTTCCTTTTATAATGTAGAAGTAGGGAGATTCGCGCACGAAGGAGAAGAGTACCAAATAAACTATAGGTATACAAATACAAATGTACGAAGTTTGTTGGACGTTGAAATAGCTTCCAACTACACTTATTATAAATTGACCCAGATATAAGAAAAATGTCATAGAGTTTCCCCAAGTTCCTCTCACTTTTGGGGTAGATATTTCTCCAATATACATCGGTAAAGAGGAGTACAAACAACCGTCTGAGATCCCTGCGAAGAAACGGGATACGTAGAATACCCAGACATCTTTTGCCACAGCAGCCAGTATCCATGCTATGATGTAGGGAAAAGCGACGAAAATTAGTACGGGCTTCCGACCTAAGACGTCATTTAACCTCGAGAATATGAAACTGGATATTATCATTGCAATGGGTGGTATAAGTGTGAAGTAAGATGCTTCATCCTCGCTGATGTCATAGTATACCTTGTCTGTGGTGAGTTTTACTATAAATGGAGAGGTCCAGGACAAAAGAGTGCCACAAGTTAAGTTTGCCAGGCATCCTGCAAAAAATCATATATTAAATTAATACAATTTCATGTGCTTTTAATGTTAACAACGATTTTAATAAATAAATATAAAAACATATTTTCGTTCTTTGTTTCTAAAAAGTTATTCTGTATTGAAAGTAGGTACTTCTGTAAGTAAAGTAATTCTATTTATCCAAATCCAAAAAATTTCAAGAAAAAAGTTGAAATTATATAAACGGCCGCGATAATGTGTAAGAGAGTAAATAGTAATTTTGTTATTGTGAAACGTCAGTGTTGGTAAACTGTTGTTTAGATTGTGCTAAATAAAGGTTTGGTACAAATTGTTGTCAGAAGTTGGATACTGAAGATTATTAGTTTGAGAAGACTGTGAATGCCAGTGAGCATAAGATTTAAAATAGCAGACATGGAAGAGTGAATGAAACATTTTATGGAAACGATTAAAGCAATGAAGGATGAATTAAGTTTTGATATGAGGGTAGAATAGGATGCGTTAAGATCTAATATGGAGAGATATGCCCTACGACGTATGAAAGATGACATGAAGAAACAGTTAGATGAACAAGCCAGTGAAGTAGGATAAATAACATCATGATAAAGATATATAACCGATTTGACAACATTGAGGAAGTAGTGGAAGAAGAGCAAGGTAGAAGATATGAAGAAAGAATTTGCAAAATTTAAAAAGAAGCGTGACTCTATGAGAGGAATTGTCAAAATTGAATAATCCCATCAAGTTTCGGCGAAAATTCAGGTCCTAGATTGATGGTAAAACTTCTTGGAAATCCTACATGAAACAGTTCGATGCCGCAGTGAAAGTTAATAACTGGATTGGCAGTAAGAAAACTACAGCCATAGTAGTATCATTGAAAGCTTTACAAACTTTAGGTAAAAATAGACCAATAATTATAACAACTTAGTACAACGGTGGTCGATACTTCGAAAAATGGCTGCATTAGCCAGGTATACGATAAATTAATGAAGCACTAGCATATGCCATGGAATTTAACCAGAAACTAGGAGAACAGAGACCAAAGGAGTTGGGAACTTGTCCCGAAGAATATCAGTTGTGACAGTGTCAAACTAGGAAACTTCGTGAAGACCAACAAAATGATGGCAGTCTAAAATCGATCATTAACTGGAAAGAACATGGGACTCGACCAAAATGGACAATACCAGTGGGTTCCAAGCAGAATATTCAGTTAGAAAGAAAATCTCGTAAGCTGCAGAACTACTGGGAAGATTCATATACGATAATCAAGAGGATAAACGACGTGGTCTACAGGATCCAGAGAGAACCCAAAACGAAAATGAAAAACCTAGATCGTTAGATCCAATACCGGATCGGAGAGGACTGATTGCTGATCAGAACGAAAATTAGTTTAGTGAACTTTGTTCACTAGATGTAATGTAATGTAGTGAACATTATTCACTTATTAGTTTCATGGTGGTTTTGGAATGTTCTTAAAAGCTTGGATATTAGCTGTTTCCCTTTTACAAATTTTTGCCTTTTTGTGTTGCCAATTTCCAGCACTTAACACGCGGTCTGGAGCGATAAGCTATACGAGTATTGTCTGTGGTATAGGTTCTATGTTCAAAATACATAATTGTATTATTTTCCAGGTTATTTTGAGGGGGTCGCAACTTTAAAAAGGTTGCAAACCACTGCTCTAATGTAAACACGTAATGTAAAACTTTAAATGAATATCAAATCTCTCTGGATTGGAATTAAAAGTTAACCAGAATTAAAACTCATAAAAAACAAGAAATTCCTTAGAAATAATAAATTTTAGTTTGTACCTAAAATAAATAGACGTACAATTTAAAACCATAAGGTATTTATAAACGTAGGTACTGAGATAAGGGGTCATCCATAAATTACGTCACACGTAAATGGGGAGGGAGGGTATCACCGAAATGTGACAATGTGTGACAAGGAGCAGGGGGGTCAAAAGTTTTGTGACGTCACATGTTAAAATTTAAAATACTAAAACTCGAAATTTAGATGTGAATAAAGAACTAAAAATCTACGAACTTGATCTATATTTATTAATAATTTAGCATTCTCGCTATGAGATTATCTCTCATGCAACATCATTTAACTTCTAGAGCAGCGTATGTGATGCGAGTGAGTCACTCAAATTCACAAGAATTTTGAATGGTAAGGGTTTAAATAGGTTTAAGTCGTCGGCGAGTGCTCGCGCGTCGGTTAGCGAGACCTTCGACAAGTGCCAGTGCGCAGCGACTTCAATACGTTCCTATTCCTATTGTTTACTTGACGATTGACTTTTGCCGAGTGACAGTCATAGTTTTCTCAGTTTAATTATTTACCAGTAATAGCTGATATAAAAGAGTGGGTCCAAAGTCCATGGACACTAGATAATTAAGTTTTTTATCTATAATTAACATAATTAGTCGTTTATTGTTTTTTAACTAGTCGTTTGTTTTTTCGGTTATCTGAAATATTGGACTTTATGTTGATTTTATTAGATTATTTAATAAAAAAAAGTAAAAAATAAAAATAGCTGTTTTCTCTCGATTATTTTTAAATACATGCCTAAATTTAAAAAATGTGTGACGTCACATCAGGAGGGGGGGATTATAAAAATGTGACAACCTGTGACAAGGACGGGGCGAGTGGTTCAAAAGTCCTAAAATTCGTGTGACGTAATTTATGGATGGCCCCTAATATACCTGTAAAATATTTTTGTAGAGTTATCATTTCTTATTACAACTCTAAGATTGAAAGTACTTAAAATTTTAGATGATAATAATAATAATATCATTGTGGTATATCGCTCAATAAGGTAGGCGCACAAGCAGGGGGAAGGGTTGAGGAGCTGTGGCCCCAAATTTTCGATTCCACGGGGAAAATAGGAACATAGGTATATTCTCAATTCAATATGAAAAATTATTTTTTTCATAGTGTTCTACATGTTGAACATACGATAATTACATAAAAAGTAATTAAGATTGGAATCTTGGTGCCTATTTTTCTTTTAATTAAAGATTATTGTTATAATTCATTAGTCCAGTAATTATTCTTATTAATTTTTTTCGGAAACTACTAAAGTACGTACATATAAAAAAATTAAGTAATCATTATTAAAGCTATTGGATGACATTTTTATATCATATTGTATCTCGATCAAGTAACAAGTGACCAATGTCCAAATATGCCTCTCTTCTTGTTCATTTCACTAAAATGAAGTGTGATAAAGTATGTGGGGGGCGGAACCTTGATCAAAAATGGAACAGCTCCAGCGCCGGATTAAGCCTCGGTGGGGCCTGGGGCTTGAAGGGAAGGGGCCCTCCTAAGGGTATAGTTGACAGAAAAATTGACGGTGTTTTTAAAAAATCGAAAAAACACGAAAATATCAACAACTATAAATATATCGTTAAATATTTTCAATAGGCTGAAAGATTATATAGGATGATTTTTTTACGAAAATCAATTTTTGCACCATCACAAAACTTCCTTTATGAGTCCTTTTAAATTAATTTAGTATGCTATTTTCTTATTATTAAATTTTATATATAATACAACATACATTTCCAATGAAAATGATTTGTTCAGGTAAAAAATAGCATTAGAAATTGTCATTAAGTATTTTTATTACCATTCATTAGTCTGTTTTTTTTTAATTTTTCCAATAGCATGTGGGGCCCCCGGAGCCTGTGGGGCCCGGGGTTACAGCCCCCGCTAGCCCCCTGGTTAATCCGGCGCTGAGCAGCTCTACATTAAAGGTAACCTTAATAGTTATAGAGAAAAAAGGTAAGAACTAAATATTTAATGTGCCATACATATTTAGGAATATGTGCTCGTATTAACAATACAAAATGTGAACATGTTATCTAAACTTACCTATAAGAATTGTTAATATTTGTGGCCATATTTTTTCTTCACTTTCTCGTTCGGGTAACTTATCATTTTCACTTGCTTGGCTTACCATATTATGCTACAAATTATTTTTATTAATACTTGTCTAGTTTATGTAACGGTTTAAACTAACACTGAATTGTCATTTTATGAATTTTTATTGCTTCGCAATATTGTATAATTTGTAATTGTTTAAACGTTTAATGACATAGGGGCGAAATGGGAATTTTTTATATCGCCCGAGGTATCGCCGTTTTAGTACTATTTATTTCCTAAATAATTCTAAGTTACACCAAGAAAATTCCAATAATACAAATATGTCATAAAATAGCCCGTTTTTGGTAAATAGGGAGCTAAAATTTTTTATTTGAATATTCTCATTACATTTATTGTCGACGAATTTTTTTTTACGAAATTGATTAATTTTTCTTTTAAACCAAGTTTCAAATCAAAAAAATTCAAGGGAAATTTTTTGTAAGTTACTGAATAAGAAATAAAATAGAAAAAAAATGTGAAACCAGTAACGTTCCCTCACAAAAATAACTTTTTGACGTAATCTAATTAAAATAATAATTAAAAAGCATCATTTTTTTCATTAAATTTTGGTGATCATTTATCTTATTCAGACTAACACTGATTTACGTCAGTCGCTCCCATTTTCAATAAGATAATGTACTTTAACCTTACACATTGTGTGTATTTTTTGATTAACAGGTAATCACAGGGATTATATTACACCTAACATTTTTAACTATAATGCGCTTCGAATTGTACTAGAAGACGGATTTTATTGCAAACCAAGTTTTATAGGTAGATGTGCATGTTTCATTAAGCAATAATAATTCATTTTTAAAATGAGTAAAGCATATTACACGTTTACCAATTTTCAAAACTCAGCCACTTTTAAAGGCACAGGTAAAAATGTATATGTAAATATTTATGTAAATTTACTAAATAATTTACACATTGTATTTATTAATATCTAAATTATAAGTCTGTTTGGAAATGAAAGAGAGTAATAAAACAACGAGATAAGAACCGGCCATGGGCGTGGTAATATTTCGTTTCAGGTAATTATCGGGTAACACTAATGCTAAAAAAAAGGACAGGGATTGGAAAATCGAGTATCTACAGACTTTTAAAGGAAACAAAATGAACAAGATACTGTAAACAAAGTCGTTATAGATGATTTCTTCAAAAATGTCATTCGCAGAAAAGTACACTCATTTTATTTTAAAAAAGAAATACCAACGCTAAACAAAATTTTAAGTGAACTTTCAGAGGACAACGATTTGCCAAAAATCAGTAGAAGCAAATTATGGGCCGTCTTACGAGAGTTGAATTTTTGCTGGGAAAAGCAGAACAGGAAGTTAGTTCTTATCGATAAAGATGAAATTATTTGTTGGCGAAGATCCTACTTAAGATCAATTAGAAAATTCCGTGACGAAGGGAGGTTTATTTATTATCTAGACGAAACTTCGGTCAACGAGGGATATACTGTAACAAAAGTATGGCAAGATAAAAATGTAAAAAGTTTTCGACAAGCATTTTTGGATGGACTTTGGAATGGAAGGCACCTTCAGGTAAAGGGCGAAGATTAATAGTGACACATATAGGTAGTGCCAGTGGTTTTGTAGATGTCGGTTTACTTTTATTTGAATCTAAAAATACAGGTGACTATCACGAAGACATGAACGCAGATGTTTCCGAAGAGTATTTTACACAGATGTTGGATCTTATTCCTCCGGGGACTGTAATTGTCATGGATAATGCCAGTTACCATTCACGGCAGACCGAGCGGACGCCTACGACTGCTTGGAGGAAAGCCGATATAATTCAATGGTTATCCGGAAAAAACATTTCTTTTGAAACAAATATGGTGAAAAAGGAACTTTCGACACTTGTCAATCTTAATAAAGATAAGAAAAAATATGTTATCTATGAAATGGCAACAAATCGCCAAATAACGGTACTACGGTTAATGGTTCTTCATAATTTGTTTATCACTACTAATAGATAAATTTAGATTTTGATTTACAGGGTGTACAGGAAATAAAATATAAAATGCTTACAAAACAAAGTATTTACATACAGTTTTCCAATGTTTTTCTATTTCTATGTAACAATTATGTAACTCATCGGACTTTAATTGTCCGTCATTACGTTTTTGGACAAAAATTGTTCTAGAGCCAAAACGGCTCATTTCCGAGTAGGGTTTTATATGCAAACATTTTCTATCACAATGTCCTCTGTATTCCTCAAGTTTGGCAATATTTTTTTGAAACACCCTGTATATTGCTGTATACGCTGTTCAGGTGTAAAAACGTGTACAACTTAATTTTTATTTAAATGAAATAACCAAATGGATGGATTGGATTTTTGTATAATTTTGTGGTCAAAACTTGAAAAATTAAAAGAGAATAATAAGTTTGTTTTCTACGATCACATGATGATACTGTTCCCGACATTGTAACGGCTAAGACTTACTGGTAAACGTATTTCTTTTACGAAAAATAAAAAATATATAATAGGCACACATTTTAGAAACTTCGACTGCAGATAGCTTCTTTTTTGATAGTTGAAGCCCCCCAAATTCCTTTTTTTTCGATTTTTAGATATGTTGATAAGATAAAGATAACTACTATGAGAAAACTATAATATTTCCATACGACAAAATTTGAATTTTGTATATCCAAACTATTTTTAAATCATTACAAACCGTTTAGGAAAAAATGGGGATTATTATTTTTCTTGTTATTTTGATAAAATTCATTTTACTTTAAATATCCTAATTTTCAGGTAATAATATTTTTAATTACAAACACGTAGGTACATTTAAAAAATTTTCTTAGATGGAAATATAGGAAATAATTGAACTGTTCAGTCATTGTTTTATGAATGTTGGAATGTATGGTATAGTATCTAATAATTATAATTATACCTTTGATTTATCGCCATATTAATTTTATGGTTTAGTTATCTGTTTATTCTACCTAATATTTGTACACAATAGGTACGAAAAGATTATTCGGCTCATGATAACTTTGCAGTTTTATTTTTGGTACTAAATTTATACTTCTATTGCCTTTTGTGCGAACCAATAATTAGTTAATCATCTATTAATTTTTAATCAACGTTTATATTTATTTGGGTTGCAGCGTCAAAAATTAAACAATGTTTAGTTAAAGGGAGGAAATGCTTGTCAACAGTGAAATTTTTGACTCTTTGCTAACTTCACGGACGTAAAATTTTGTTTACTACGTCAACTAATACCAAAAACTAACCCTATTTTTAGTATTTTGACTTGGTTTTTATGGGGAAACGTACTTACTTTGATAGATTTAAATAGAAATGGATTCTGAACGGAAAAAAGAAAACTGAGCATTAGTTTTTTAGGAAAAGCTATTTGTAGCAAATATTTGTGCAAAATATAGACACATCCTAGAAAATAAAAAAATCTATCATATATCGGCCACGGAAAAAAACAAATCGTGGGAAAAAATTGCCTCTGAAGTTAACAGTGCAGGGGTAAATACTACCTACAGGAGTCCAGATGTATTAAGATCATATTCCAAGTCTCCTTCTATTAATTCTAGAAAATACAACATCGTGTTTTTCATTAAATGAAAACGCCTAAAAAATGTTAAATTATCTAAATCCTCAACATTATTTTTTATTTTATAAATCTTGCGATAAAAACCAAAAGACTATTATATCTAAAATATTCTAGTCGTCGTTTATAAAGAAATCGTCATTCAACTCATCGAAATCCATTTTAGGCAGTTGATAAAAATTAAACAACAACAAAAGCAATAAATACTAATATACTATTTACTGAGCTCAAACTAGAAAACTACACGATCTCGAATCTGAAAAAGTGAAATAAGACAACCTAAAATGAGGTTAAATTAACTACGACGACTGCACACATCTGTAATTAAAACTAATTCATCTTTAAAACGTAGAAGAATGTTCGTTTAGTTTTAATCACAGTTTACTTCTTGTTAATCACCGTTTTGGGGACGGCACAATACATTTTACAAACTAATCAGTGATTAATTTTCTAAACGCCGTTTAGGCAAACGGCGCAAACAGCCCAGTAATATATTTGACAGTCTGTAACTCCGTTGTTTTTCAACAAATCTTGACGATTTTCTTTTTAACTTAAAGCTCTTTTCAGGAGCTTTCCGAATATGTATGTATAATATATAACTATATCATGCGCGTGCGTCATATATTTCATTTTGTAACTAAGGCTAAAAAATAAAAAAACTTTCCAGGTTGCAAATTTGAAATTAAAAAAAAATGATAGATTTCAGTGTATTATTATAAAATCTACCATGAAAAATATCGGTGCGATTGTGGAAGATGCTCGGGATCGTCCAGACTAATAATTAGTTAATTTGTTTATAAGATAAGACCATAACTTGTAAACTATTCAACTTACCGATTCCAGATTTCGTGTGAGTTATTAGACAGTGATAAAGAATGAGAGGATGCGATGCCAAAACGTTCTGGTAATAATAACTCAGTTTATAAATGTTTAATTTAAGAGTCATAAACTTCTTCTGTTTATAACTTTTGACCTAATCAATATTTTTTGACGCTCGAAGGCTAGTTTTGTAGGTCCTTTGAAGACGAAAAAAAAGTACGTTACTGCTTTCTCGTGGAAATGAACGCAAGTTATAAGCGAAAAACGTAAATTTACGTAAAAATTATACAATTAACCACCCTGTAAACAATCTTCCTCCAATGTTTATGACTGTGCAAACTAATATGTTATTGTACATAATATTTATCATCTACAGTGATAAATTCAGCTTGCCGAAACAAAAAATCGTGAAATGGTAATTTCCCAGCTCTTTTTCCTGGCCTATAAAAAGTTCTCATTTTGCCAATCATACTGATGCACAATGGATTTGTTACATACTTGTAGGATGCAACAAAATATGCAAAAGTACAGTTGTTGATGGTAACTTGAACTTATATACAGGGTGTTACGAAATTCGCGGACACGGACCCTGGGATCATGTTAAGCTAGATAAGGTCATAAAAAAATGTCTTTATCATTTTTCAAAC